AGGCTTAAGAAGCTCAACCTCCTACTATGTTTTTCCTTATATAATACAACATGCTACATCTCTCTACCCACTAGATTTTTTTATGTTAATCAATGTTTATAACCGATTAACCGATTTTTAAAGCGTTGAAGGACGTCATTTTGGGATCTTCCAGGTAATAAATCTGTTATAGCTGGAAAACAGCCAACTTTAGAGGAGAGTTACTAAGAACCTTTTTGTTCAGAATGATACTAAAAACCCAGAAGAAATCTTAGTCCGGAGCGGAAAAAACATTTCTTTGATTCAAGAGACATTAAACAAATATGATTATGAAAAAAAAATCGAGTTTAAGTGACACGAATAAAAAAAAAAGAAAAGGTTGCAAAGTTTAATTTGTTGTAAACAAATTATAAAAACACAGATCTTCGCTCTCGTCAAAGTTCTTTTTTTGTTTTTTGGGCCATTCTTAACAAAAAGCGGCTTAGTAACTTTTCTCTTAAATTGACCTTTGTCAAGGTACGAGTGACTTTTAATCTTGGAAATAGTATTTTAGAGTCTTAAAAACACCATTCAAAATCATTATTATTGTTCAAACATTTCCCTATAAGAGCCCGAAGATTGTTTTAGGCATAGTTTAGTTTAAAGCAGTTTTTAGTCTTGTTTTGTGGGCGAACTTTTCATTTTCACTGCTTTTAGCTCGGCTTTTAGGCTGCGAATCGTGCGATGGAGTGAATCATCAGCGGAGTGGTAGACGATATGGATAGTGTTGGTACACACGACGTCGGCAAAAAGCGTCAAACGGGCTTCTTCTCCCAGTCTCTGCTACCACTACTACGAGCCCCTTCCCACTTCAGTTGGCCCAACTATTGAAATCTTAGATTTTTTCTTATCAAACACAAATAATAAAAATGTATCAGGGTGTTATAGGTTTAAAATATTAACAATGAATATTTTGATAATATATAGTAGAAAACACCAACTTTATCACTCCCTAATCAAATTTGCAGCATAAAAATAACACATGTTGCAATTTCAGCATATCAACCTATTTTCATTTCAATGCAAAATAAGTCTATAACGCATAGGTGGCTGTGAAAAATAAAAGCCATGACAATTGTTTTTATTAATCACAGCTGTCAGAATACGTTTAAAATAGTTTTGGGTAGTTAAGGTTTTCAGAATGGATAGAGGAAAGGTTATTAGTGAGAAAATTCGGTTACTGATAATTAAATTTTTTAATTCTGGGAAATCAAACTCAGAAATTTGTTAGACTTATCGCGGTACAGTGTGAGAAATATTGTTAGAAGATATAACGTAACTGGTTCAGTTAATATTAAGCCACGATATGTGAAAAAAAGTAATATCACAAATGCCGACCAAAGAGCATTAAGAAGAATAATCGTGAAAAACAGGCGTGCCAATTATTTACAATTAAGTGCTCTATGGAGTGACGCTGTTGGAATCAGATTTCGAGGTCCACAACTCGTAGAGAGGCCCACAAACTGGGATTTAGCACTTGCAAGGTAAGTTTTTTTATAAAAAAAAGTGAAGTAAAAACCCTAAAGTTGCACTACTTGTTTATAGGCCAAAGAAAAGCCACTATTAACTCCACTGCAAAAGAAAAATCGGGCTAAAGAACATAGACAATGGACACCTCAACAATGGTGTGCAATACAATGGAGTGATGAGGCCCGATTCGAAGTTCGTGTTCGTGACAGTCGCAGTAGAGTTATTCGCAAAAAAATGAAGCATTCCATGTTGACTGTTTGAAGAGAAAAGTGAAATTTCCAGCTACCATTATGGTCTGGGGTAGTATGTTATCAAAAGGAGTAGGAAAACTTCATTTTATTGATGGAAATGTGCATACAAACAAATATTTGGCAATTTTAGAAGAATCGCTTTTATCAGTGATGGAAGAATGTTTGACATCCGGCCAAGATTTTGTGTTTCAGCAAGATGGTGCAGCGTGCCATACCTCAAAAAAGGCTATAATGGATGGAAGAAAATAATGTACCACTTTTGAAGTGGATCCAGATCTGTCACCTATTGAAACTTTGTGGCACGAGATGAAAAAGGTTCTACGACAACATCCTGCTCGTACAATCACCGAACTGAGACAAAAGCTTCAAGAAATATGGGATTGTTTTACACCAAATTTTTGCCAAAACTTGGTTAACACTATCCCCCAAAGAATTTCAGCCGTAATAAAAAATAAAGGTGATGTTACCCAATGGTAATCTTTCAATTGTTGCTTTGTTAACTTCGCGCATTTATTCGCACATTGTTTATTTGTTCAGATGTTCTATTAGTTATAGGTCTAAGTGATTTCAAATATGTATTTTTTACGACTAGAGTATATCTAAAATGTTTTTGAGAAAATAAATTGTTTTAGAGGTAAATAGTTTCGTCATGTTTAGTTTATAAAGGCATATTTTGGTACAAATCTTGAAGTTGGCCAACTGAAGTGGGAAGGGGCTCGTATACTTCTGCATCCGCCACTGATTGAGATATTAAAGAAGAAAAGCCCACAAGCTACGACTCTGATAGTCACGTTCGGCAGGGACAAATAAGCTTTGCTTACTATATTTGGCGAGAACTGCATTGACCTCAGTGCCGGTGCTTAAGGCATGCGATCACCATCTGTTTCATATTTTGCACGACATTCTCTTGTCTATGGATCGATCGGACCACAACATGACGTTGAAGGACACGAGAACAATGCTTCAGTGTTTATAGTTGGTTCCGATTCGAATTTTTACCAAATTTGGATGCTTTTGGCTGGAAAACGATAAAAGGAAATTGTAAAATCTAAACCTGTTGGAATGTGGAATTGTGTAAGAACAGTAGGAATTGACATTTTCTATAATTTATTAATGGAATGGAAATAAAAGAGAGAAAGGAATGATTGCAATGTTTTTTTAAGGAGATTGGATATTACAATTTTGTAAGCAATTTCCACCATCACGAAAACTAATAGGAACATCACCTACGCTAAGTAATAAATTCTTCTATGGTGAAAGCATTAATAAAAGAATAAAATAGGTTTCGTGTGCATATACATTCTAAAGAATATTTTCAGTCACTGAAATTTTTGCTAGCAATTTACACGGGGCGCAGTTTTCGCCACTCAACTTAGTCATCAAAATTGAGACCTAAAAACAGAGATATAAATGAAGGGTACCGGGGAATAACGACAATAGTCCATCCGGACTGATTTTGAGAAAATCGGTAATTAAGGTTTACTTACTTGTTGAAAAGTGAAATTGATGAAAAAATAAGTCGTAAAGAATATCTTTGCTAAACAGTGTGTTTATTGGTAAAACAGATTTTACAAAATGAACTTTTACTCAAAACTAGTAACGTAACAAACAAAAGATGATGTTCAACTCTGGACTCGTGCCACTTTTCCCCTGTTCATCACTGCTGTCTTCTGGATGAGCAAGAGATATTAACTGTTGATAAAATGACCTGGAATCTGCTCTCCCTAGAAATTTGGCCAGATCCTGCAGATCCTTCCATTTCTTACTTTTAATTGGGATTGGGCTCTGGTAAAGTTTTCTCAATGTTTCCTATTCTCGTTTTTGTTGATCTTTTTGCGTCTTTTTTAGATTCTTCCGAATTACCTTATCAAAATTTAGAACTAGCATATAATAATAATCTGCTCTCTCTAGAAATTTGGCCAGATCCTGCAGATCCTTCCATTTCTTACTTTTAATTGGGACTGGGCTCTGGTAAAGTTTTCTCAATGTTTCCTATTCTCGTTTTTGTTGATCCTTTTGCGTCTTTTTTAGATTCTTCCGAATTACCTTATCAAATTTAGAACTAGCATATAGGCCTATGTATGTCGATTTGTGAAAAACTACGCGAGGATTCCGTTTACAAAACTTGAGCATCCTGACTGGTCGGGTTGGAAAGGGGCACTTCGGCGATAAAAATATACTATAATCTTGAAAATCAAAATTTTTGCCACAATCAATGACTTCAAAAGGAGTAGGTTTCACGCGACAATGTTTCAATTTATTTCTCCAGTCATCCGGTACCTCAGTGTATGCTCTTTGGTTCACGGGACGCATATCACACTCGAGGTATGAATGCCCACTGATCGGGAGTATTACTTACACAGCAGTAAAACGATTTTTCTTGGTAACCAAGTAATGCAAAAACCGAATAACTGTAAAGTTTTTATTTTGCCCTGCATAGGAGTCACAGAAAATGGCAAGTTCTTTTACTCCCTTCGGCAGGATGTTATAAAAAAAGTGATACAGCATAGAACAGACATCGTCAGCTCCTTTCTTAGCAATAGATTCGTCGTAGGTATAAAAGATAGAATTTGAGTGTAAAAGAATGTGGATGTTAAAACTGATGAAATTTAGTTGCCGCTTATAGTAAACATCACTTGTCGTAATATTTGGACAGGGCAAGTTTTTTTGGTAATCCATCATGATACTTTAGATAGCTGGGAACTTCGAGACACGTTTGTGGTAAGTTCTCTTAAGACTGTAAAATCGCTCACTCCTTTTTTGATGCAGAGGAAGGATGGCTAATATCGGGTAGGTTCCGAATATCGGGCAGCGGTTTATTAGACGAGCTACTACAGCCATCTACTGTTATAATGACCAACATGTAACAGGAACCACATTAAATGCAACCTGTAACGTTCATATGTTTTTGTGACCTTCATTCTTTCCACAAACACGGGAAGTGTGTGAAATCCGCCACGAATATTTTGAAAGTGTTAACTAAATTGGTGTTTTCATGAAAAGGTAGGTCTGTTTGTGTTTATTTTTATGTTCATATGTCTTCTGTAGGCTTGCAGCCATCCACTAAGGATTAGAAAAATGTCCCTTTCGATTTGCTTTTTAAGATATATTGTCGTAATATTTTGAGGTTATGTTTCCTAATATCGGGCATGTAAAGATGCCAAATATCGGGTACCCGATATAAGGAACACTTGATGTTGTGACGTAGATATTGTTTCATTATATTGAAGTTATAATTATTAAGCATCTGTTTATTCACAGATGCCACCAAAAAAAAGAAAGCAATGGAATGCAGAAGCGATGAAGAGGGCAGTAGAAGCAGTTAAGACCAAGGAAATGGGAACTCTCAAGGCGTCTAAAGCATTTGGCGTGCCCAAAAGCACACTGATTGATTATGTAATAAGTAAGAAACCGGATGATACATTACTTGCTATCAAATTAGGCAGAAAACCTACTTTAACAAATGAACTTGAAGAATCACTAGTTGAGTATGCTCTCGAAATGGAAAGACGGTATTTTGGTCTCTGAGCGTCAGATGTAAGAAGACTAGCCTTTCAGCTGGCGATACGTAATGGGCTTAAGCATTCTTTTTCTTGCCGAAGTGCCGCTGCTGAAAAAAAATGATTGAAATCGTTCATATCAAGACACCCAAAATTGTCTTTCCAAAAACCACAGGGAATTTCTGCAGCCCGTGTTAAGGGTTTTACAAAAGAGAATGTTCAAGCATTTTTCAACCTCCTTGGTAGCGTTTTGCCAAAAGTTGGCTTTAATCCCGCAGCAATCTATAATGTTGATGAGACTGGTATTACGACAGTACAACACAAACATGTCAAAGTGATAAGTTTGAAAGGAAAAAGGCAAGTTGCAGCTTTAACTGCTTCGGAACGGGGTGCTTTAGTAACTATTGTAACGTGTATGAACGCTGTCGGTCGTTACATACCACCAATGTTGGTGTTTCCCCGCAAAAATATGAAGCCTGAGCTTCTAAATGGAGCTCCCCCTGGGTCCGTTGCCAGATGTCATCCATCGGGATGGATTCAGCAAGACATTTTTATAGACTGGCTGAGGCACTTTATTTTACATGTAAAACCTAGCGAATCCGAACAAGTTGTCTTGATATTAGATGGACACTATTCTCATTCAAGGAATATTGATGTTATCAACATTGCCAGAGATAATTTCGTCCATATTATCTGCCTACCTCCCCATTCTACAAATAAGTTACAACCACTCGATGTCTCCTTTATGTCACCTTTCAAAACTTATTATGCTGCTGAAATTGAAACATGGCTTAGAGCAAATCCAGGGAGACTTGTAACTTCCTATCAAATATCGGAACTAATGGGAAGAGCCTATTTAAGAGCAGCGAGTTGTGAAATTGCAGTGAATGGTTTTAGAAAATGTGGAATATTTCCATTCCAACCGACAATTTTCCGAGATGACGAATTTGCCATCCATTCTTCAAATGAAAGACAATCAGTCGAAGGAGATAATGACGAAAATTAGATTGCTGTGGATCCTGCTGTTGCTGAAAACTTAAGAAAAGAAAGAGAAACTACACCACCCATTTCGACACCTAAGCTCGTTGTACCTCAGGATATTTGTCCTATATCTAGCCTAAAGACAAAACATCAGTCTCCAAGGACAGGTTGTTCGGGTGAAGCTTCTAAAAAAGGAGGTAAACGTGGTTCAACAGCTATCCTCACTTCTACGCCTTATAAGACAGATTTAGAAGAGAGCTTGAAAAAAAGAAAAAAGATCACACCGAAAAAAGTTAGCCTGAATCAAAATAAATCAAAACTAAAAAACGAGAAGGAAAAAGTTAACAATAAAAAATCGATCCCAAAAGGAAAAAAGGAAGAAAGAGGAAGATAAGCTCATCTAGCAGTTCTGATAGTGATGAAATTCAATTGGTAGACACGGATGACGACATGGACCAAGATGATGTCGATGTGGAATGCTTTTATTGTTCCAACTGGTTCTCTGAAGATATTTCTGGATCCAAGTGGGTCCAATGCATGAAGTGTCTGCGTTGGTGTCACGAAGATTGCTCAAATATAGGCAAGGAGAAATCATTTATTTGTGAATTATGTTTAGATGGATAAATACTTGTTTCTTTTGAACTTTATTCTCTGGTTAATGAGAAATACTTATTTTATTTTTTGTATTCTCCTGTGTCTTACTGTAACATAAAATATCTTAGATAGCTAATATTGCTACTTTGTATTTTTTAAAGAAGTTGTAGCCTAATATCGGGCACCCGATATTTGGAATCGACACTACCCGATATTAGGCAACCTTTTTTTAATTTAAGGAAATGACACCATTTACGAATTTTCTGAATAACAGCAACTGTGTTTACTTAATTTTAATTATCTCTTGTAAAACAAAACTAGGAACAATAAGCAATAAATATGTCAACCAATTAACTTTTGGGAATGAATAGAAAAGTTTTACTGAACATTTTTAAAAAGGTACCCGATAATAGGCGTCCTTCCTCTAGTGTCTTCTCAAGTATCTTTATCTCCAAATTATTACATACTGACTGCCTAGTTTGTTCCGTGTCGGAATTTAAGGTGTGGAAGAAGTGAAGATATATCAGCTTTTAAGGAATCACACGTACTACAAGTATCGTTTCGTGGATAACCGAACGATATATTGAAGTTGTTTTCAAAGAGTGATTCCTAGTTCATTAAATTCGCGAAGAAGTCTACAGCGTTCAGGTTCAGGAACAAGCGTAAAACAGCGAAAAACGTTCACAAAAACAAGCAGGTCCACGTTCGTGGGTAGTGGCGCGCAACGTTTTCATTACGTCTCTCTGTCTTCCTGTTTCCATATAGACTTATGCCGTTTTTCTATACACGTGCAGGGACTCATGCCAATCTTCCCCGGCACAGGGAATCTTATAGCTGTTGTTTTGTGAACCTAGGCCACCAAAATAAACTGAAAGCTCAATTTAGCCAAATAATGGACTAATGCCGTTTTTCCCCGGTACCCTTCAAATGTTTGTCTTCTGTAAAGTAGATTTTTGCTTTGGTCGAGTCGAAACTGGTCAACCCTGTACGTGTCTAATAATAATTGACAACTGAGTTACACAACTTTGACAAATGGAACCAAGTGCATTTACTACTTTCCACGTACTAATATAAATATTTTCAAAACCTTAGGTATACGATAATTCTACGTTGTTGGTGCCTAGTGAAACGAGATGTTGTCTGATTAATCCATGACCCACCTAAGAATTTTTTCTACAACCAATCTCTGCTTTAAGTACGTGCTAGAATTTTCGTTTTTCGCTCATAGCTCCACAGTCTCTGAACCAATTTTCGAAACCCATAAAAGTTTTACGTCCCTAGCCTCATACAAAAGTTTCATCAAAAATCGACGAGCACCTCCTATCCGAGTTAGGAACGACGGATAAACAGACAGACAGTTCGGTGGAAGTGAATTTTGTTTTTGGTTTTCCATTCAACATCCAAAAAGCATGATATTTTGATTACGAAATTTTTACGCGATTATTGAAAATACATATAAAAGAAAATAGCGTCAAGTAGACTTTGCACTTCGCACGCTACTATGTCATCAGTTCGTAAAGGATTATGTGTGGCACAAGTTGGCGCTTCTGAGAAAAAAGTTAGCTACGAATCCCGCGAGCATGGCAATATTGGCCTTCGCCATACACAGCGCACACAGCCCACAACGGCACGGAAGCGATTGCCGACTGTGACGTACGACCACCGACGTCGCCGCTTGTCCATCGGGGGACCACGTCGCACGTATCGACACTCGACTGAAGGAGATATATCTAAGTTTTAAGGGTAAATGTACGGGCACATCTGTGATATGTGCGTAGGTTGGAGACGTCAAAAAATTGAGATTAGAAATGAGTGACGTGATTTTTTTTGTGTCATATAACAAAACATAATAATAATTATAATAAATTTTTCCCCGCCAGAAGGCGTGGGAAGTAAAAATATGTAATGAATTCTGCTCCAAGCGTGTCATTATTAAAACACCAAATAAACACCTCTTAAAGCTGCAACTCCATGGTTTAGTCAGCAACATAAAATTATTTACTCAATAATTATGTTGAACTAATGTTAAAAATACATTGTATGAAGAATGAGGAGGCTGCACCAAAGCTGAATGAATAGAAGTTGCAGAGATATTGTGAACGTGTAACATATGCATGCATTTTAATTTATTCCAGCCTACTGTTTTCTCAGAACTGTAATTACTATAAATATAGACGTGATACCCCTCAACAACTAAACTGGACCATCCTTTCGAATAGTCAAACAGTCTGAATAAGTATTCAATTTGAAGTATTTAGTATTTATATCATTGAGCCGTATTCATAAAACAAAGGTATCCTTGAACTTGCAAATTTTGAAGGAAATCCTCCAGATGGTATTTATAATAATTTGAAGTAAATGCTTGTGCTTTTTAAGTATATGCATATCCTTCAAAGCACATAAGTAAAAGGATATTCATAATCTTCACCTTATACTTGGCATAGGAGTGTGGTCAGTAGCGGACTCAAATTCGTAACGAAAGGTGGTCAAACGATAATGGCGGAAATTGTGGATGTTAAGGATGTTAAAACGTACAAACCTCGTTTACCTTCACTTGGCCGTGACTTATTTCGGTTCGACGAAGCAAATGTACAATGGCTTGCGGACAGATTTTAGTTGAGAATGAGGAAACTCGAGGAGGAGCACTTTCATGTATTCCTGAAATGAAGATATGTCTACGCTATCTCGGTAACCCTGGATATCAACAAGGTATTCGTCAGGAACTTGGTGTTAGTCAAGCAACGGTATCTCGTACTGTGGATAGAGTTGTGAACAGCATAGTTGCACAGTCGAACGAATGGATCAAGTTTCCAACTACCAACCATGAACAGATGGAGGTCAAGCGGATATGGCGAAGCAGGTATAAATTTCCGACAGCAATTGGTGTAATTGATTGTACAAATATAGGAATCCTGAAACCAAATCGCCATGGAGATGAGTGTATCAACCGAAAAGGGAAACCTACTGTGTAAGTCACTTGTGATGCCAGAGAGATGTTCACAAGTGTTGATGTCAGTTGGCCTGGATCAGTCATTTCTAATTTCGTTTTATAATACTCTTGTTGTAAAATACTTGTTTGGTACTGCTGTAATAGCACTAGACGTTGCAGTTCTTTTGTAGTTAACCCTTTGGTTTCCTCAGTTTCCCTGTTGCTAATTTTCTTTTTGGTGGTAATGTCTTCTGAAATGCTGGCGCTGTAATACTAACTGTTTGCTCACTGCTCACTACCAACCTGAATGGCACCTCTAATTTTCCTAATTGTAGGATTACACTCACCTTCCATAGCTTTCAGCAACTTTCTTTCCCAATCTAACAAATTAAATTGCTTTATTACCAGTTTTTTTTTTAGAACTATTTTTTCTTTAGTCTTGATTTGATATTGTTGATTTTTTTTAAAAGCCTTTAGTATCTAATGGTTTACCGAATGTTGATTCGTATTTTTTCAACATCTTCTTCAAGACATCGTCCCTTCTCATTTTTATTTCTGGAACTTGTGATTTTTCAAAATAATGGGAGCAATGGCAATTTCATCTGCGATGTACTGCAGGTCGTTGCCATTATTTTCTATAGTTTCCTCATCACTTGAGGATGACATGCGTATCAATTTGATAAAAACCTGTATCCAGTAAAAATACGGAACGGTCTGTGTAAGCTCTGGAGTACAACTGTCAGTCATGCTGAGTGAACGAACTCCCACGTCAACTACAATCTGGAACAAGTCAGGACATGTCGCTCAAGATACAAATACCAGTCAACCTTTTACTTCTTCTTGGAGGATATCCTCGCGAGTATAAGGTAATCATTATGAATATGAATACGGCTCATTATATCAAGGTAATAGTTATTTATGCATCTAGCACGTTAAGCTATGGCCCACAGCGTGAAATTAGACCCCAAGGTACACAGGGATTCGAATAAGATAAGTTCGTCTGAACAGTCGGTCCAAAGTTGTGTGTAATCCCAAAATCTTGAAAAATGTCTTTTCAGAAAAGATAAAAATGTGAGGTGATAAGTGAACGCGAAAAAAGAATAGTTAACTTGCGGAAAATGTATTGGAGAGACTATCGTCGTATAGAGTCTGTGGGTTTAAGCCCTCACCTCACTCCGACAACTATGCCTTTCTTAGTTAAAACGTCCTAATTACGGGTTTATTAAAATTTGTAATTTATACATAGGACGCTCATAGGACGCTCTGCGTTTGAAAGCTCGTAATATTTGAACATAGGACAATATATTCAAGTAATTATGATAGGGACCCAGTGGAAATAACTAACTTGGGAGAATAGATAAGTACTGCCCAGAATAACTGGTATATGTATAGGCCACAAATTTAAAAAAATGATTTGCGAGCCTTGTTAACCTTGTACTCACTATGCTCTCTCCAATTCAGTTTGCAGTCCAGGATAATTTCTAGATATTTTACTGATTGTT